ATTGAGTCTTCCATGAGTGTTAGCATTAATTTCTTCCAAGCTCCTGTTACTGTTGATAATTTAGCCCCCTCCCATGAATCATGAATGTTCTGAATGGCATCTAGGCTGGTGCTTCCCTGCTGGAAGTTTTTCAATTTAATTTCCTCCAGTCAATCAGAGGAATAATTCTTCATGGCAGCTATAGTCCAGTGAAATGTCTGTTAATAATAAAATCTGAGTATCAGAATGACTCCTGAGCCCTAGCCTAGAGAGGAGATGCTGCGCTAGCAGGCACAGACATACTTGTTTCATCTGTCTCCATCAGAGCAACAGGTCTCAAAGCAAACCATGCTGTGACCAGATGCATGGCCATCCAGGCTTTGTTCCTCCACTTATAGAACACAGGCAGAGTTGGTTTGGTCTAATTTTGAAGGGCCCCAGGATTTCCAGAATGGGAAGTAAGCACTGGCTTCAACTTAAGAGTCACCAGCTGCATCCGCTCCTAACAAGAGAGGTGGCCTGTCCTTTGAAGCCAGGCATAGACTTTTCCTCTTTAGCTACGGAAATCCTAAATGACATCTTTTATCAATATGACTATGTAGTCTACATTGAAAATCGGTCGACTAGTGTCAGTCCCTGGCCAGTTGATGATCTCAGCTAGATCTTCTGCATAACCTGCTGCAGCTTCTACATAAACACTCACTGCTTCGCAGGGCACGTTTAGTCTATGAAGGGTAGCTTCTTTCCTTGGGAACTCACCACTGCCAGCTTCAGACTTTTCTTTTGCAGCCTCCTCACTTGTCTGTCTGATAAAGGTGCAGAGCTAGGGCCTGGCTCTGCATCAGACTTTGGTGTAAGGGAATGCTTTGGCTGGTTGGATCATCTATCCAGACCACTGGACTTTCTCCATATTTATAACAAGGCTGCTTCATTTTTGTACCATTCATGTGTTCATTGGAGTGGCATTTTTTTTTTATTTCCTTCCTTTCCTTTGCACTAACACCTTGATTAACAAGCACAAGAGGTTTCACTTTCAGTCTTTTTGGTTTCAAACCCTCCTTGCCTGACTTCCAGCCTTCCTTCCCCTGCAGCTTAATCACAGTTAGCTTTTGATCTGAAGCGAGGGCTGTGAAACCTTTCCTTTCACTTAAACACTGTAGGGTTTAACATTGTACTCACAAGAGCAAGGTCCTGAGTTCGATACCTGGTACCAAAAAAATATATAATAAGAATAATAATAATAATTTTGGACCAGGGATTTAGCTCGGTGGTTCCGCCGCCTGCCTCATAAGCACAAGGACCCAAGTTCAATCCCCTGTACCAAAAAACAAAATTAAAAAAAAATTAGGGGGCAGGGATTTAGCTCAGTGGTTCCTGCCTTGCAAGCACAAGTTCCTGAGCTCGATCCCTGGTACCAAAAGAAAAAAAAAAGTAACATATTGGGCTGGGGATTTAGCTCAGTGGTTCTGCTGCCTGCCTCTTAAGCGCCAAGTTTGATCACCAGTACCAAAAACAAAAACAAAAAATATATCACTCCTTTCCATAATCATTTGGGCCAGGGATTTAGCTTAGTAGTTCTGGTGCCTGCTTCACAAGTGCAAGGACCTGAGTTCAAACTCCAGTACCCCCCAAAAAATGTAGGGTTAACATTGTAGGGTTAGGAATTGGCCTAATTTCAATGTTGTGGTGTCTCAAAGCCTAGGCAGGCTATGGGAAGAAAGTGAGAGAGACAGGGCAGCAGCCCGTCAGTGGAGGAGTCAGAACACACACATTTATCAATTAAGATCGTTATCTTCATTCTGGGAGGCTGAGGCAGGAGAATTACAAGTTCAAGCTTAGTCCAGGCCGACTTAGTGATTTATCAAGATCTTATCTCAAAATAAAACATAAAAGGGAGCTAGAGATGTAGCTCAGTGAAAAAGCCCTGGCTTCAATCCTCAGCACTGCAAAATCATACCAAAACAACAACAAAAAACCCATCACCTTATATGGGCCTAGTTCATAGTGCTCTCCCCCTAAAATTATGATATTAACCTTGAAGATCATCGGTCACAAATCACCATGAGAGGTATTATAATAACAGAAAAATTTGGAATTCTGCAAGAATTACCAAATGTGACCCAGAGACAGGAAGTAAAAATACAGTAGGACAAATAGATTTCCAGTAGATTTGCTCGACACAGAGATGCCATAAACTTTCCATTTGTGAAGTGTGTGATGTTGTGACACACCGTAAAGCAAAGTGCAAGGAAGCCAGGTGGGCCTGCATGTGCATTTGAACCCAAGGAGGCCTCTGAAGAGCCACAGAGAGCTACGACACTGTCCTGTTGGACTTGATGGTGTGCAGCTGGGGTCAGAGAAAATTCTGGGCCACCCAGAGGAAACCTAGCAGCACCCTCCTCCTTTACAGCATTCAGCCTCTCCCCTAAACAAGTTGGTCAGTTATTTGTACTTTGGACTTTTTCTTCTGGGTGCTGTGCTACCTGGCCTAGTCCCTATTATGTCACACATATGTATATATTTATTTATTCGTTGGTGCTGAAGGTGGAAGCCAGAGGAGCCTCGTGCATGGTCAGTAAGCACTGTACCACTGAGCTGCATCCCAGCCCAGCACATTTAGACTTCGGTATTTACTTCCTGAGTAGCACACTTAGTACATAACAAAATCACGAAAGCTTCTGAATGCTGTAGAAGAAAGCATCTTGTTTAGTCTTTTCCAACCCAGATCCCTGTACCCACAGGTGCAGAGAACACACCCAGGAACGTGTCTCTACTTTGGAGACTTCCTTAGAGCCGTGTATGTAGTGGCTGCCCCTTGGTGGCTGTTCAGCAGAGCGCAGTGCTCTTGGAGCCTGGTCTCAGGTCTAAAAACTGGGAAAATTCCTTCTGAAGTATTGTTGGCATTTTCAGCCTTTAGCCATAGCCCTAATATATAGCAATCCAAAAAATTGCTGAAACATAACAATAAATGGAGAAGCGGTTTTAATATGTGTGTGTGTGTGTGTGTGTGTGTGTGTGTGTGTGTGTGTGTGTGTGTATTTAATTAAAACATCCAGTTCTGGGTCCTGCGAGAATCTGAAGAAACAGTCTATTCCATGGGAGCAGCAAGTGGGTCTAGGACAGTGCTGGCAGACTATAGCCCAAGGGCCACATCTGGCCACCCTCTATTTTTTTTCCATTTAGCAATACTGGGGATTGTACACAAAGCTATACCTCCAGACCCTTTTTAATTTAATTTAATTTAATATGTGGTACTGGGGATTGAACCCAGGTCTTTCACACTGAGCTACATTCCCCAACCTTTAAAGAAAGAAAAAAAAAAGGTCCTGCTAAGTTGCTACGTTTCCCAGGCTGGACTTGAACCTATGAGCCTCCTGCCTCAGCCTCCAAGACTGGATTACGGGTGTGGGCTACCAGGTCTGACTCACTCTCTGCCTTAAAAGTAAAGACTGGAATGTGCAATGGAATGGTGGCCTTCTCGCTCCAATGGCTGAGTGATCACTTGCAAATCCCAGAATGTTTACAGTATGGCCCTTTTCAGGAAATGTTTACCCACGCCTGGCTGAGTGGCCCAGGTAAGACCCCAATGATGATAAGTTATTATAGTGTAGAAAGATTTGTGCTTGGATTGCATTTTGATCCATTCATTCAAAAAATTGTTGCATGCTGTGATAGTTAACTGGTTGTGTCAACTTGAGTAAGAAAAGCCCAACTAAACTGGATCAGCATAGTTCTGGGTGTAGCTGAGGGGATTTACTGAAGATGTGCTGGGATTTACCAGGCATCAGTGACAGTAACCAATGGGCTTGTTGTCTAAATGGTATAAAAGGGAAACTGAGAAAGAAGACTCGCTTCTGCTTCTTTGGGGAAGCTCCAGTCTTCACTTTCACCTTGGACGTTGTCTCCTGACTTCTAGCACAGACTCTAGCCTTCTGGCACAGACCCTTTGGCCTCCTCATAGGGACTTGCACAGGACACTACAGTGAGCTCCAGACCTTCAACTGGGTCCTTTGGATCTCCAGCACACAGACAGCCCTTTTGTACCCTCCCACAGCTGACTCTGGAGTGGCCATTGTAAATTCTTATACACTTATTTATCTTGCATTAAATCTTTTCTCTAGTGAGCACTGACTGATACACACTAATACATACCTACTATGTGCCAGATGTTATTTTGCAACAGAAAAGATTCTTGATATTCCCAACCTTGGGGAGGTCCAGCATTTCCAGTTAAGAGGACAAATAAAACTAGTTACAACTTTTGTACCCAAAATAACATCCTTTTTTTTTTTTGGCTTCCATTCTTGCACCCACCATCTAGGGACCAAAGTTTGGTCATTGGGCACAGATGCCTCCTGGATGCTGGACCAAAATCTACCTTTGATCAATCTCCATTTTCACCTCTGTCTCCTGATGACCCTGGGGCCAAACCAGTTTTCGACAGAGGATATAGCAAAATCCCAGCTAGGAGGAGGGAGAGGAGGCATGTGCTGGCGAGACCCTCCTCCCTTTTGACCCTATGCTTCGCTTGGCTAGGCCCAAGACATCTATACGGAAAGCAGCCTGGTTTGTGTCATGGGTAAACAAAGCAAAAGTTTGCAAAGTTCAAGTGTACCCTTGGACAGACATTCCACTGGCACACGTTCATTTAGCAGCAGCCAGGTGCAGAGTGAGGCAGAGCCTCCTGCCTGGTAAACACTGTCTTGGTGTCAGTGTGGGCTGCATGGTCCCAGGTCTGTGCCAGGCACTCTGCCTGAAGCCCCTGATGCTGGGTGCTGGAACTGTATGTGAGCACACACGCACCAAAGTCAGCAAAGTCAGAAATGAAATGAGAGGTCATGGAACCACTTTGGTTCCACTTCCCCAAGGACGAAGTCTTCTTTAAAACAGCTGGATAAAGAGGTAAAAAAGCATCAAGAGAAAACATAAAACCACTACCTTTTACCACTAGAACTGGAACTCCCAAAGTCCACCGCACTCAGGATTCTCAAAACACCTGGAAGCAACTTCTCTCCTCTCACCTTTGCACTCCTGGTGTAGAGACGGAGCGTCTGCTGGCTGAATTCTCAGTTTGTATTTATTCAGCAGTGGTTGGTCTTGCTCAGGGTCATGCTCCCTTCCTAATAATAAATAATAATAATAATAATAATAATAATAATAATAATAATAATAATAATAAAGGATGCTGAAAGGTCTTAATTAAACAGTGAACATGCATAAGCCAAACCAGAGTGGCCGAGACAAAGAGCTATACGAAAGCACCCATAACACACCCATCCACACCTTCCATGTCTCCATCAGGGAAAAGCAGCTCCATATTACTGAATTAAACAGTTAGCTGACATCCTGTGGAACAGGACACATTTAAACTGTCTGACATCCCTGAGACAGATGACAAACCTTCCTCCTCAGCAGGATGCTCGGTGTAGGGTAACCTTTGCTTGGTGGCTCGGGCTGTCATTATGCACAACAATTGCACTGTGTTGTAACACTCCTGACCTCAGGGCCTCGCCCTGGAGGGACATCAGCCTCCTGCCTGAGGTGTCCGCAGAATATTATCTTTGGGTTTTTATGTCTGCATTTCTGTTTTCTCTGTGTCTACCTTCTGTTTGGGAGTGTGTGACCCTCCAGGGATCTGTCCTGCCTCAGGACCTCAGGAGACCCTGCTGCCTTTGCCTGGAAATGGAAGGACAGCTTGAGCTACTGGGTGACAGGCACTCTAGCCCTGTGCAGGGGAAAGCAGCACAGGAGACAACGGGGGGGGGGGTGATGGGTGCCGTGTGTGTAGAGGGACAGAAGAGAGCAAGGGCAGAGAAGGAATTTCTTAAATTCACCTCATAGGCAGATACCCAGGAATTGGCCAAAGCAGCAGGCCATCTGTTGTGGACAGGGACACAGAGGTGACTCTTTGTAGATGTGCTGCATGTACCCATTATGTATGGTGCAGCCCACAGTCAGGAGATGATCAGGACCTCTGGAACCTGGGCTTCATCCAAGAAGCCCACAGTGCTGCCCCACTGAGCCAGGACTTGGATGCAGGGGACCAAAACAAAGTAAGTGGCTTCCACATCCTAGCTTCTGTGTGTCAAGGACCCAGATCCTGATGCCATCTCCATGAATGCTGTGTTCCCACCCTGCTGCTGAAGCTCATCACTGGGGACCTAACTAGAGAAATCTTCCTCTTCGCTCCTCTAAGCGCCAAAGCCTAGAGAACAGACTCTGGGCTGTTAGAATTCTATCCACAAGAGACAGAAGGCTACGAAGTGGAGTGGGGAGAAGACAGGACTCACAATCAGCACAGGGGTAAGCATGGGGCACTGGAGCTGGGCAGTGGGGATGTTGGATCAATGCAGAATGTGACCTGGGGAAAATCGCTGAGATGTGGCACTGCGGCTTTCTCCCTTGGAAATAATGGCAGAATAAAAGTCTGGTGTGAGTGAATCACCAAGAGGAATGGACTGGCCTCAGTTAGTGTTGGTCTCTGTATGCCGTCCAGGGCCTACGCTCAGTGTCCTCTGCACGCAGAAGGCCTCTGCAAATTCTGCAGCACAGGGGCCTGCTTCAAGGTCTTGCCTTCAGGGTGGGCCCTGGTAAGCAGGCCTGTGAACCCCTCCCACATCCTCCTCTCCCCCTCCCTCTTCCTTCACTGGTGCATCCGGCTTTTTTTCTTTCTAAGGAAGATGTGGTGTACACGGGTGGAGAGGGTGTCTTTTAGGACACACGAGATGGCTTTTCACATTTGTTTAGCCTAAGTGGCAAGACAAGGAGTATTGCATTTCTAGTTCCCTGAAGGTTGCTCTCTTGTTCCCTTTCACATCAATCTCCCTACCCACACTGCCCACCACTGGGGACACTCACCCCTCTGTCTTCTATTACAAGAAATCTCTCCTGTCCCTGCCGCTCACACAGGTGGAATCACGCAGCACTTGTGCTCTTGGGTCTCAGGTCTGGCTTCCTACTCTAGACATCATGCATTCAGGATCCATCCATGCTGTTGTATGTAGCAATCGTGGGCTTGCTGGTTTCTTTTCCTTGCTGCATCGCTGCATTAGGGGGTCTCTAGAGGAACAAAATATAATAAAGAGATTCATTAGGCTGATGGGATCAGAAGCAGCAGAGTCCCACCCTACCACCCACCTGAGGCATCAGAGGCTGAGAACACTGACTGCTCACTGCATGAAGGATGCAGGAGCAAGGCTGAAGGCCCGGAAGATCACTGTCAAATCACCACTGTGAATCCGTATCAGAAACCTGGAGAGTCTGCTCTGAAATGCTGAAGAAAGCTCCACAGGCTATGGCAAAGAAAGGAACGCCTCCAAAAAGGGAAACACTTCCTCTTTTCTAGTCTACCCAAGTTACAAGCCTATTGGTTGGTGGCAGCCACATCCGGGGTGGGTCTTCCCCCGTCAGTTTGCTGGCCTTCATGTCAATCATCTACAGACGAGCAGACTTTACTAATCAGCAAGGCTGGTCTTAACCCAAATCAAGTTGACATTTCATAATTAATGGTAACAGAGGCCCTCCGTCTGTAAGGCTGTAGCACAGTTTATTCATCCTACTGTTGGTGGACATTTAGATTGCTTCCAGTTTTTTTCTATTTAATATGATGCTAGTGTGAACATTCTTGTATATGTCTTCTGATGAACCTAAGCGTTTTAATCTTGGGAATACGCCCAGCAGCTCGTGGGGAATGTTAATGCATGGCTTTAACAGATACTGTCAAACAATTTCTCCAGGAGGTTGTGACCTAAATAACAAGAAGAGATTCTCTGAGAAATGACGGTATTTGTTAGGGAATAGTACAGCACTGCAATGGGAAGGTGCGAGCCATAGTAAACGATGAGCAGCATATTAAAAGGGCCAAGGCGATGGGAGTTTTATTTTTTGTTTCTGTTTTTGCTTTGGTACTGGGGATCTAACTCAGGACCTTGTGCTTGCTAAATCTCTGGCCCTGGGGGAGCTTTGTAAGGCAAACATTAGGAGAACTACACAAGGTATTTTGTAGTAATGATCCTTTGCCCCAAGGATTAATACAGAGAAAAGCAGTCTGAGGCTGGACAGTGAGGTGCTGGGCAGACGTCCTTGTAGAAGTACTTTTTGTGCAAGACTCTGGTCCTGGCAGTCTTTTGTGAATGTGACTCTCGGGCAATCAAGCACGAGAATTCTACTTTCATTACCTTCAGACCTTCTCTTTTATCTTTTTGTCCGGGGTTTATGCGAGCGATTATAACTGAATTCTGAGCTCTCTCACAGAGCTGTAGCAACTTGCACCCTCACTCGCCATGAGAAGACATGCCACATCCTTACTGCAGATGGGTTTCTCTGCCCTGTCATCTTCGACATTTTGGTGCAGGTGCAGGTGGCTCCTGCCAAAGTGACTACTTTGATCGCCTGATGACCAATGGTACAACAGGCATATGCTTATTGGACATTTTGTTCAAGATTCTTGCTCATCTTAGCAAATAGTAGTTTGCAGTCCTTTTCATCAGGATTTGTAAGTGTCCTTTATATATTCCAGTGCGAGCCCTCTGGTGGCTAGAAGCACTGATAGAAATTTATTTTCCCTCCTTGTGAATTGCCCTTTTGCTCTCTTAACATTTTCTTTTGATGAAAAGAAGCTCTTATTAAATTCCAAATTATTAAATTCCAATTTCTTCTCCTATTGTGTTTAGTGCTTTTATCATCCTGTTTAAAAATCCCTGCCTAACCAAAATCATTCCTTCATTTAAAAAAAAAAAGACATGAGTTAGGGCAAAATACATTTTCTCAATTGGGGTTTCTGTATTACTCAAAGGGTTATTTTTTTATATTTCTGAAAAGAAATATTTTATTTTATTTTATTTATTGAAAAGACACCTTCTTTTCTGCCTCAATGGCGGGGATACCTGGGTACCTGCCTGAACCTCCCAGTACAAAAACATAGCATGCCCCTTTTCAGAAATACTTTGTAGTTTTCAGCAAGTTTCCCACATTTTCTAATTAAAATATTATTTTGAGTGTTTCCAAGTTTTAGCTATTATAAACTGTGTTGCTGTAAACATGGGTTAACATCTACCGCTGTGGGGATTCTTGTAATTCTTTTGGGACGATACCCAGCAGAGGGATGGCTGGGTCAAATGAGATTTCTGATCCTAGTTCTTCAAGGAATCTCCATGTTGATTTCCACAGTGGTTGCACCAGTCTGCACTCCCACCAACAGTGGAGAAGAGTTCCTTTCTTCCCACCAGCATTTGTTATTTGTTGATTACTTGATAGCAGCCATTCTTTCTGGGGTGAGATGGAATCTCAGTGTTGTTTTCATCTGCATCTCTTGAATGACCAGTGATGTTGAACATTTTTTCATGTTTATTTCCTGCTTTTAATTCTTTGTCTGAGAAATATCTGTTCATTTCAGGTGTCCATTTTTGAATTGGGTCTTTATATGGGGGGGGCTGGTTTTCTTTTTTTTTTTTTTTCTTGTACCAGGGATCAAACTCGGGTCCTTGTGCTTGCAAGGCAGGTGTCAGAACCACTGAACTAAATCCCAGCCCTGATCTGAAATCTTTGAGTTCTTTATTTATATAGATAGTAGGTATTTGTCTGAGAACAGCTGGTAAAAAAAATTTTCCCACATTGTGTGTTGTCTCTTAGCTCTGTTGGTGATTTCTATTGCAGTGCAGAAGCTTTTTGAAAGATGAGATCCCAATTGTTGATTCTTTATGCTAGTTCCTGTGCTACTGAGGATTTATTCATGAAGTATTTTCCTATGCTGATGTCTTCAAGAGTTCTACCTATCTTCCAGCAAGTTTAGTGCTTCTGTTTTAATATTTAGATCTTTAATCTACTCTGATTTTAGTTTAGTGCATGGTGAAAGATAGGGGTCTAATATTAATCTTTGGCATGTTGAAATCCAGTTTTGCCAGCACCATTTATTAGAGGCTATCTACAGTGAGGATGGTTGGCTCCTTTGTCGAAGATGAGGTAGCTGAGTATGTCTGCAGTTGTATCTACATCTTCTAATCTATTCCACTGATCCTTGGGTCTGTTTCTTTGCCAGTACCATGCTGTTTTTATCACAGAAGCTTTGTAATATAGTTTCAAGTTGGGGATTGTGATACCCCCTGCCATGTCTCTGTTGCCTAGAATTACTTTTGCTATTCTAGGTCTCCTCTGATTCCAAATGAATTTTTGTATTGTTTGCTGTAGTTCAGTGGAATATACTGTTGGGATTTCAATCAGGGTAAGTGGCAAGAGTGTGATCACTGGGAACCCATTTTAAAAGTTAAGAGTGAAAGTCCTGAGTTTGATCCCCAGCACCAAAGGAAGTTAAGAGTGAAAAATAGTGCTGTGTAGAAAATGAGGAGGCCCACTGGTCCTGCCCTTAGGCCGCACCACCTGCTCTGGGGCAGCGGCCTCCTTCTTAGCCTCCTCCATAGCACTGTTCTTAGCACTCTCTCTCACCTCTGGCTTGTCATATCCCTTTCCTGCAACACAGCCCCTTCCCAGATAGAACGGAAGGAGAGCAAGGGAGGGTCTGCAGCCAGAACCACAGACCCCAAGGACAGAGGGTCCTCACATCCCGTCAGCCACCCACGGCCCTGGCAGCTCCAGCCACAGTCATCCTTGTGCCATTCTTCCATCTCCCGCTCCGCAGGCATCAGGCCAAGGAGCAGAAACCACCAGGAGCGCCAGAAGGGATGAACCCCCAGTGCAGGTCCGGGTTCTGCAGGATGGTTCTGAGGAAGTTTGCCAATGGGATTGTTCGAACCCAGGATCATGGGTGGCTAATTTTCATCCCTTCCATCACCAGAGAAATTGAACGGTTTCCAGATCCTCAGCAGTCATTTATATTTTTAAACTATGTATCTATTTTTGTTTGCTTTTGTAGTGAATAAAAATGTTTTATTATGACTAATTAACTTTTACACTTACTGAAACAATTTTTCTGTAGGAACACTGTTTCGAAATTGATTGTTAATTTGTGTCAGCCATGTGAATGCTTCACAAAGGAAGAATATGAGCAGAATAAATGGTGAAGGTGGCCCTGGATTTAACTCAGTGGCAGCTCTCCTGCCTCACAAGTGCAAGGTACTGAGTTCGATCCCTGGTACAAAAAAAAAAAAGAATAAACAATAAAGGTATTAACTTCACAGTTAATTTCATTTTTGGATGACAAATAGTAATTGTTCCATCATCTCTCAGTACCTTTAGAGGAGTAGCTACCAGGACCTCCAAGATTCCAAAGGCCATGGATGTCTGAGTTCCTCATAGAAAACGTTGCCTTACTTCCATGGAGCTGCCCGCGTCCTCCCACATACTGCACATCACCACTACATGACTTATAATATGTAATTCAATGCACCATGCTGTGCAAATGGGTTAACACTGTGTTATTTAGTAAATCATGATAAGGTAAAGGTTTGTACTTTAAGTCCAGGGTGGGTGGGACCTGTGAGTGTGGAACCCCGAGGTGTCAAGCGCTGCCTGAATACTTATGGGGAGTAGTATGTGCACATGTGCGGAATGGTAACTCCATCCAACGTACATACTCTCACTGCACTTAATGTTGTGTGTGTGTTGGGAATGTTCAACTTCTACCCTTAGCAATGTTAAAACGCACAATACACTATTATTAACTAGGGTTACCATGCTGTGCTGTAGATCTCAAAAACTACAGAAGTGAAAAAGGCCACTTGCTGGCATGTCTTTGGAGACAGTTTCTCCAAACCCCAAACCTCAGTTCCCTGGGATGATCAGCCATGCTGTCACGGGCGGTGTTGTGTGATCTGCCAGTTCCTCCAGGGACAGAATTGAATGTGTCACAGCTACTTATTCCTCAGCATCCTCCCAGAGGTGGCTCAGAAAGCTGGCAGAGGAGGCATTTTGTGGCCTATTACTGCAGACAACAGAGTGGATCCTGTGGCCTGAGTTCTTTTACAAGGCCGGGGCTGGGGAGACATCGTTTCCATTTCCCTGTGTTATAATGGCACTTGAGGGTGCCCACAGTCTTGCACTGGCCCTGTCTTAGGGCTGTTAGATGACCGGTCAGCATATGGGACAGGCCCCTGTCAGAATGCAGTAACCACCACAGGCACAGCCCAGCTGATGCTGGCCTTAGGGCCTGCTTTGAAAGAAGAAAGGTCAAGCAGCTTCCCCAGGCCTGGGGCTGAGCTCCTGAGAACTGAGTGTGCTTTGTAACTGGCAGCAGCAGAGGCTGGCATAGTCTCACCCCCTGTGCATCTGGGCTCATTTTGTTCCTCTCCAGCCGTACCTGCCAGTGAGCAGGGCAGACAGGCCTGGAGCTGGTGGGATGGGGCAGCAGGATGTGCATTTGTGGGACATTTTGACTAAGTGCAGATGAGACAGCTTGCTTAAGGAGGCTGTTGCAGACAAAACACACACAGGTGCGCGCAAAACCAAAACAACAAAAAACACCTTGGCCACATAAAGAATGAGAAACTGAAGTCATTCATAGGAAAATGGATGCATATTGAGGCCATACTCTTAAGTGAAATAAATAAGACACATGTAAATTATCGAATAGTTTCTCTCATGTGAAAAACTAAAAGTATAAATAAGATCCAAACTGTGTAACTGATAATGTGAAATAGGAAGAAAAGGGCTAAAGGTGTTGGGGAAGTGGGAAGGGTGGGGAAAGGAAAGAAGGGATAAGAATATGAGAAAAGGAAAAAATGGAAACATAGTCTTTATACATAGGGGAGGAGAGGGCGAAGGGAGGACAGGGGTATGGGGAAAAGATGAGAACCGAGACCCGTCATGTAAAGGTAGAAGATCCCAATGATGAATGTAACTGTACTGTATACCTAAAAGGTACCAATAAATTCAATGGAAAACAACAACAAAAAAAACACCTTGGCGAATTGACAGAGGCACAACCAAAAAGTAAAGCCAGGACTCCACCATCAAGTGAGTCTGGGAAGTCCTCCTCACAGTAAGGTTAAGGAGGTGATAACACAGCCTTTTATTTTTCAAAAAAGGAAGCTGAGGCACAAGAGGGTAGGTAAACTGCTCAGGGCTACACAGCCTTTAAACAACAATGCTAAAGTCCAAAGGTTGGCAGTAGAGCCCAGCCTCCTTCAAAGGACTTTGCTCAGTATCTGAAGGAAAAGGAGGCACAAGCAACATGTACCCAACAGATTCCTGGGACAGCCCCAAACCCTGCACATATTCTCAGAAGGGCTCAACCGCAGCCTGGGTGGGGCCCACAGCTCTCTTAAGGAGGGAGGCAGCTGGCTGTGCTCAACCTGTTCTGACTACAGAGCAGCCCTGTGCCCTGCCTCCCTCCATGGGGCCTGGGCAGGTGCTTGCAGCTTGCTTTACTCTGGTTTTTCCAGGAGTAAGACAAGCCCAAGCCAAGCTCTGTCTCTCTGGCTTCTCCATTCACTCACTGGGGGCAGAGCCCCAAGAGGGGGTTTCTCCCTTTGATGGATGTCACAGACCCTGTGCCCCCAGCCCAGGAATAGTGTAGCGCACACACACACACACACACACACACACACACACGCTCATGCATGCATACACATGTGGGTGTTTCACCTGAATTCCCAGCAAGTACCTGGGTCCCCTTCTGCATCCCATAGCACACCCAAGGATTTGGCCAGGCCATCCAGGACACAGAAACCACACTGTCATTTATTTGAACAGAGAACATTCAATAAAAGAATTATCAACTGTGTGAATTTTTTCAGAGTATCCTGAGGTTGAGGGCACTGACCCTGGTAAGAAACACATGAAAGTGGATCCCCTGCCCAAGGGTGGGTCTCTTTTACAGGTCTGGCCAGGACCCCTGGATGGTGACATCCTCTGGGCCATTTGTGCTAGAATCTGCACCTTGTACAGGGTAAGCTCTGACGCCTTCTGGAGGGCACATGGCTGAGGCACTGGGCAGTGCCCACAGGGAGCTGGGCCCTGCCCTCAGATGCCCCCGCCACAGCTCTGGCAGTCAGCTTGCAGTGGGAGCAAGAAGGAAACAATCAGCAGCCCCTTCCTCCAGCAAGTGTCCCTCGGCACCTTTGCTAAGTCGCTGTGTGCTCCTCAAAGGAGCACCGTGCCAAGATCCCAGCCAACTTGCTCACCTCGCAGATCCCACTTCTACTTTTGTTTAGAGAGAATAAGTACAGTCCTAACCACAGGGGGGCTGAAGGTAGCCTGGTGAGCACCAGATGCTCTTCTGTCTGGGCAGTGCGGCACCCCAGACTTCTGATACAAAGAAACTGTCACAAAAGGGCCACTCCAAGTGACCAGGTCACGTTCCTGTCCTTGGGACACGAGTAGAGAAAACCAGTCCTTCCTGCTGGTGGAAAGGCAGATAGTGTAAAGTCAGGATTCCCCTGAGGGCAGGGAAGAGTAAAGAGCATTAATATCAATTGGATACCTGACAAGTGCCAGGCTCTTTCTTTTTTATAGATGAGGAAACCAAGGCTCTGGGGGGCACAGCTGGGATGCCACCACCCATTGACCAGCTCCATGTGCTTTTTCACAGCCCGCCAACCCTGGGGGTGCTAAACAACAGTCCCTTAGAAGATGCCGGGCAGCAGTCGGTAGGGCACAGTAGCAGTGTAGCGTGCCCAGTCCCAGCCATACTTGCTGGCACAGCGGTGTTCATCACGGAGGCAGCGATGGGTCAGCAAGATGGTCATGTAGATGATGTAGAAGTAGGGCAGGAGGTGGCCCCCGCCACAGGCCAGGCAGTAGGCCAGGCTGCCCATCAGGTCACCGGTGTAGTTGAGGTGGCGAGCCAGACCCCAGAAGCCCGACACCAGCAACTTACTGTGGTGCTTCTGGCCGTCAGCTGATGTGTACATGCACTCGATGGCCTTGGGTTTCCGGCCCCAGATGAGGCAGCGCCCATCTGTTCTGCGGAACAGGTCCTTCTGATGGTTGGCCATGCGGAAGATGTAGTAGCCCAGGAGGCCGAGCACCAGGACACCCACGGCGTGGGGGGTGGAGAGCTGCACTGGGTGGTACACCAGGTACAGGCCCTGGGAGGTGAGAAGGACATGGTGAAGACTGGCTGCAGCAGTAGGAGCAGAGTAGGAGCGGCTCGGAGTCCAGGGTGTGTCCTGGCTCGGTCTCCTCCTCTGTAAATGAAAGCACCTACTCCGAGGGCTGCTGTGGGCCTCGAATGTACAAACATGCAAATGTGCCTATGTATCCACCTGCCGCCTGCCCTCTCCTGTGAGGACACACACACTATATATGTGTGTACATATAGATATAAGGTAGCATGGTATTTGCATAGAACCTACACACACACTCATGTATTCTTTAAACCACTTCTAAATGACTTACCATACCCAATACGACGTAAAGCCTACGCAAATGGTTGTTACGCTATGTTGTTCAGGGAAAATGACAAGAAAAAAGTCTGTACATGTTTAGTATAGACGCAAGTTTTTAAAATATATATATATATATTTACAATCCATGGTAGGTATGGAGCCTGTGGATACAGATGCCAGCTGTGCACCAGGCTGAAGCAAGGCCCGGGCTGCGGTAAGAGTATGTAAGTAAGATCTCTTGACACAGGTTCACAGGCCCAGAAACAGAGCCCACAGATCCAGAACACTACCAAGGCTGTAGCCAGCCAGGTGGAGAAAAACAAGTCAGGCTGGGCAGCTCAGAGTCATGAGGGTCTACAGTTATGGTGGGCATGAGGCTGCACGTGGACCCTGTACCCCCTCACACAAGTGGCTAAGCCCCTCAGCCCTATCTTCACCGTCCTCGAGAGTGCCCATAACCCTCCTCTGCCGGCTCACACCCTGAGCAGCTGAAGGGCTCCCACACTGGTTTTCTTCCTTCCTGCAGAACCTATCAGGCAGCTCCCAAATCTGCAGGTATGCTCTCATGTGAGTGGCAAGGATTTGGTGGCCAGGCCTTTCAAGGCCGCCTCTGGCTCAGGAAGCCCCCAGGCAGCCCTGCATGGTGCTAGCAGGTCCCAGGGACAAGAATGAAGAGCCCAGATGAGTGACCACTGTGGCCACCCCATAGTTCTGTCCGGCCTTGACTTTGCAGAGATCATCACGGATGCTCTCTTGGCTACTTTCCCTGGCTGATCAGCCCACCTGGGAGCCTCTGACACCTCAAGCGGACTACAGACTGACAATGGCTGGACTTATGATGGAGTGAAAGCCACCCACAGCCATTCGGAAAGCTGTTTACTCTCAGTGCAGGGCCCAGCACATTACATGAGGCTGGCAACATTCAGAACGGGCTTTGCAATAGATGACTCTGACCAGCTGGGAGCTAAGCTGCGGTTAAGGTGGACAAGGTCAAGCTATCTCTGCTAAGTTTTTGCCTTCTGATATTTTCAACATATGAAGGATGTCTGGGACATAAGCCCCTCGTAAATTGAGGAGCATCTGTGGTACGTAGAGCCTTCCCTTCTTCCTAAAAACAGGGGTCATCTTTTATGACCCCCAAGGACAAAGGTTTCTGCAAGGAACAAAGCTCAGCGTGAGGTACAGTGCCTGCTCGAGGACAATCAGGGGGCAGGGCAAGGACTAGAGGCTGCAGGCCCAGGTACCACAACCCAAAGGGACTTGCCTGCTGCCCTGGCCCACCTCACCTGCAGTGTGTACAGGTATGGCAACCACACACAGTCGCCCCAGCCCAGGTACCAGCCGAAATGGTCGTGGCAGATGTCAATGGTCTTCAGGTACCAGGTTTCATTCCAGAAAAAGTCCAGCACATAGATGGCCTGCAAGAAAGGAGCCACCGTTACCTCAGAGCTGTTCCTGCACTGTCTGCCATGCCTGGGATGCGAGCCTGCATCCATCTGAGGACAAGGAGGGCCTCACCCAGTCAGAGGGGCTCCTAGCAAGTCTCTGGGAGCCAAAGCCCAGCTCTGTGGAGCTCAGTACAGGAGAACTTGGGAAGTGGCCAAGGGTGTAGCTCCAGGTGCCACAGTCCATACAGTACAGAAACCCACTGGCTGAGTGATCTGAAGTTTGCGCCGCCAACTGCCCCTTAGCACCATGACACACATTACATGGCTGCATGACCAGGTGGCTGCTGTGCCTTCCCAGGGCCAGGAGACCGATATCCACTCACACAGGTAGTCAAAGGCGAAAGTGAGTCCCTTTCATCACTCCTCACCCCTCAGAGTGGGGCCATGTGGGGAAGACACTGCAGAGGCCATAAACTGTGACTGGCCGGGACCACAAGTGACCTTCCAGAGAAGCTAGAGCCATGCAGGTGTCCCCTGGGCTAAAAGAGTAAGATCTTACGTGTTGTACTTCTTTTCAGAGGGAGTAGCACCCTAGCACAGGACCTGGGACGGGTCCACAATGTGCACACACTGGCTCTGCTGTTCAGGCCTCAGGTGTGCCGGGCACTTAGCCCAGAAGAGCTGATCCCAAGACTCCTGTAGGAGGCCAATGCCCCTGCCCTGGTCCTTCCTTCTCCCTGGGACAGAAGGAGCCACAGAGGAGGAAGACTACAGAAGACCACATGGTGGCTGATCCAGAAGAGAAGGCCCTCTTCATCATCCACTGGATCACGAGCACAGCAAAGCCCAGCCCTGGGTGTCCCACCTGGCCTACAACCTCAGGTCCTGGAGTAGCACCTGCCACACGCCACCCACATATCTGGTTCTGGAAGGTGTAGATTCACCCCCACTCAGACCTACCCCTATACTCCACTCCCACCCTAGCACCCAGGTCACCCTACCCAGGCCATGCCCTCAGTCTCCTGACTGGCCTCCCACCAGCTGTGCCCACTCAGCAGCCAGGGACCTTTCTGGACATCCCTGGCCCATGCCATTATGTCCTGCCTGGGATACCCTCCCAGGGTCTCACTGCTTTTGACAAAAAGATGAGACTTCCACAAGGTCCCAGATGGCCAAGCCCTGAGCTCCCAAGCTCTCTGCTCAGGAGACAGGCCCATCCTCAGTTTGCTAGACTTGCTGTCTCTCCCAGTACAGGGGCTCTGCACAGCCACTCTTCCTATCTGGAGCACCTCTCCTACTTCCTCTCCTTACCTGGGAACTCCTGTGCCCAGATCCCACTTGAGTATCATCCCCAAAGAAGACCTCCCGAGACCCGGCGGGGCTGTGCCGTATTGCCTGTCCCTTCCTGCTGGGTATACAATGACAGATTCTTCCACCACAGGCACATTGTGAGGCCCAGGAAGAGGCAGACTCTGAACAGTGGGGTATCAGAGAATGGGGAATTTGCTGGCTTTTGGGTTTTCCTACTGGTCAGGCATCAGAACCACCCCACTCTGGCTACAAATGGATTTTACCTGCAGGACGTTGACCAGGACCATGGAATTGGTCACATGGCCATACAGCTCCTGCTGCTTTGCTGCAAAGGACAGGTTGATGAGGGTCCATGCCACGATCCCAGGGCGTCCATTGAAGAACAGCTTGAAGTCAAACCACTTCCCGATTCGAGGGTTAAACTCAATCCCCATCATGTAGTTATAAAAGAAGTTGCCTGTGAATTTGCTGGGGGGGTTACACAAGTACACTTGGTGAGGAATTCCTGCCCCGGGCACCCCAGGCCCCACAGAATGGGACTCAATACAGTGTCCTCTGATTTCCTCACTGACTGTACTGGGTGCTTTGTGGCGCCATGGATGTCAACAGCTATTATAAGCTGTACTCATCAGCGATTTATAACATTTGCACAATTATCAAACTTGTCTTTCTGGCTTCTCTACTCCCGTGATATGTAGAGACAGGTAATGACTTGGCCAGCTTCAGCTACATTCTTCCCAAGGCAGGAGAAACCACCAGACATTTAGGAAGGGCATTTGCCAGATTCAGGCAAGTTCCATCCACCTCCTCATTCAAGGGCTTCCCACCCTCCCATCCCAGGGCATCAGACACAGGTCAGGGCAAAAGAATTCACTTTCCTCTGGGTTTGACCAGTTACTAAAGGTCATACCAGTCTTTGGCATTGGTGGGGAAAAGGTAGCCCTTGACCATCGCGAATGTGGACACAGCATAGCCAAGGATGTTGGCACACCACAGCAGCGGGATCCAGTTGTCAAAGATGATAGTCGGTGAGAACCAGAACAGGAAGTGGGAGTTAGCAAACCAGAGCAGATGTGTGATGAGCCAGGCTTGCAGGCCATTGACCTCGTACTTGTTGACAATCCCTGAAGAGGGAAGGTTTAAAAATCAAAGCACTTTCCTGACCTGGGACAGGTCATTTGGCCTGGCTGTAGGTGCCTAGCCCAGGCCCTGCTGCTTCTGTGAGCCTGTCCTGCATCTGGGCACCACCCTGGAAACTGGCCTGCCTGTCAGCCCTCCCAGGCTCTCAGGCCAGTGGCAGCCCCATGGAGGGTGGAGGGGCTGACTTCTCCTGCCTAGCTCTGCACACCTCTGGTTCTCACTGTCCCCAACCAGCAATGCCCGAGCAACAGGTCTGCAGCTTGTTAGTGACATTGGGCTGAGTGTCAGAAGCAGAGTGGGGCCTCCCTAAGGGGACCCAGGTTCCCCTTGTGATTGTTCTTTGTGGACAGAGTTGGAGGTATGATTCCCGCCTGACCCCCATGTGCGCACAAAGCCAAGCTCCTCACAGGTTCTCAATGATGAAGAAGGGATGGGGATGGGTGGGGTGGGGTTAGGGGGCTGCTGTGGGGAGGAAGCTTGGGGTCACGCAGTTCCCTCCAGACATGAGGAAGTAGTTTCCAGCCTGGGACAGCCTAGCTGTGTTCCTCACCTCGAGACCTGGTGCTATGAAAGATTTCCAAACTACACTGATTTTATCTTGTTGGCAGTCTATGGAATGAATACATGTGGTATATTGAGCTCAGAACCCAGACTTGAAGGTCCAGGGCAGCAATGACAAGATGCCTACCAGCCCACCAGCCTGAGAGTGAGGCCCAGGGCAGGGACAGACGGGCTCTTGCGTTACCTGCAGGAGTCACCGCCCCCTCCTGGACTCCTCCCACGTAGTAGGGCAGGAATCTGTGGCAGAAGTCAGGAAGTAACATGTACAGAAGCACCTGAAACACAGGGTTTTAGAAACTTTTCAGTTTCTAGAACTATATTATTAAAAATGATAAAAAAATAAAAATATAAAAGGGGAACCCCGTGCCCAGTGGTAGCTGCCTCCATTCTTCCTTCCCCTGAGATACTGACAACCACTGATCTTCCTGTCTCTATGGAGTTGCCTCTTCTGGATAATTCACATAAATGCAATTACATAAGATAGATCTTCTGTGACCGGCTTCTCTAGCTCAGCACAGCCCGTTCACAGCTCATCCACATTGCTGCGTGTGTCAGAACCTTGTGCCTTTTCACAGCCTAATAATACTCATGGAGAGACAGAACACCCAGTGTTTAACCAGTCTGGTTAACCAGTCTGCTGCTGGACAACTGGGTTCTTCTCACACTAGCATCTGGGAATGGGGCTGCCCCTATGAGTTCTTACCCAAAGCACCAGGAGACCTCAAGGGAAGGAGCTGAAGCCCAAGAGGTTGGCCCTAGGGGGAAACAGTGGACCCTAGTACAAGCCTTCCTTGAACCCGGAGGCCTGATGCCGGGTTCAGACACAGAGCAACTCTGCTGTGCATAGCCTGGTCCACTGGGAAAGCTGTCCCTTCCTGGTGACCTCTAGGCCTGGACTGCACAGTAGCATGCTGGGAAACAGTGGTCTTGGCTTTGATGAACAGTACCTCTGTGAGGGCTGGGACACAGGCTAGTGTGTAGGATCCGGTCTCAGCAGTGTATGGGCTTTCCCTGGGCCACCTGTGACCTCCACAGTCTTGTTCCTGGTCCTCAGCCTATCTCAGCAGGGGTGGGAGCACTCCCAAACCCAGTGAGGCACCTCGACACTGAGGTGCTGACAAGTGCTTCCTGCCCTCTTGCTGTTGATGGCACTAAATGGGTCTGATCCCAGGTAACACCCTGCTGGGTCCCATCCATCCAAGTCAGGACAAAGGCAAGACAATGTTATAGGCGGGCACGCTCCCCACCACTGTGTTCTAACCACAAGGGGAAGGGACTGACCTGGAAGGTGACCCACAAGGTGTAGATCTTGGCAGCTTTCATTGTCACGGGTGAGGTCTTGGTCCAGATGTCCGCAAGACTGGAATGACCAGTGATTATGTCCAGCACGGGGGCGGCCAGAGAGCAGCTGTACTGGTCACACGCCATGATGAAGTAGTACACGATGAGAGGTGCAAAGAGCAGCAGGAAGATGACGCTGGCCAGGGAGAACCAGTCCACTTCCCTGCAAGAAGGATGGGTGGGTCACAGTAGGGCCCTCCTGTCCTCTGAGTTCACAGGGGACTCGGAGGTGCCCTCACGTTTGGGACTGGTGTTTACATCATCCAGCACCTTAAAACACTGGGTTGCTGGCTGTTTGTATAAAGCTTCCCACTGCAGGAGGGGACACTAACCTGCTGCTCTGCTGCCTGCCAGGAGACCAATCTGTGGGCAACTGTGCAAAGGCCAGGACACAAATACAGGGACTTTCACAACCACTAAGGCCAGTGGCTTCCTCAGTCCAGCCCCCAGCTGCATGTTAATGTAGCTCAAAGTAAACCAAGGACGGTGACAGCAATGAGGACACCTTCAGGTCCATACCCTCTCTCCACTGTTAGTGACACAAGTGATGCATCCTTAATCCCAAACTACTCCAAAATCGCAAACTGTTTTAGCACCAACTTGAAGCTACAAGTGGATATTTCCATATCTGACCTCAAGTGACAAGTCACATTCAGAACAGAGGAGCACTAAGAGTACGGTATCACGTCATCTTCAGGCTCTGTGTATTAGGTGTTTGTAAAATATCAATTAATTTTGCATTTACATTTAGATTCTTCTCCAAGATAACTCATTTGCATACACAAAATTTCCAACATCTGAAAAAATCAGAAATCTGAACCACTTCTGGTCAAGCATTTTCTTGCTTTAAATTCCTTTTTAAATTTTTTACTTTATAAAGTAGACAACTGTGTATCTTTCATAACTGACAATAAAAAAGAATTTTTGAAAAAACAGGTCCATAACAACCCCAGGGCTGAAAACCTCTAAGACCCCACAACCTTACCAGGCACGGCCCCATCGTCCTTGAGACACGGCCTTGCCGTTGGTGATGCTCCCCTGGTTCCCAACTTTGGGAGCGCTGGGTTGGGATTTTGAAGCCATTGGGCCCTGAGGAAAAGAGAAACTTTGCTCAGATCTTTCCAGAGAAATGACTCCACCTTCCCGCTGCATCCTGCAGGGCTTGGGCCTTGTGGTGCTGGTCTCCCCCACACACCTTCTCAGCACCTTGCCCCAACCATAGATTCCATGTGGGGAAGAGATCCACCTGCCCTAGGCTCTCTCCTGAGCCTGTGATCTGGTCCTACCTGGTCTTCCCATGTCTGCTGGGTTCCCTCTGTCCCAAGTACACAAGGTCTTTACTCATCCTTTAGTACCGATCACCTCGTCCTGGGACCGGCTATTTCCTCAGCTTAGGACAACTTTACAGGTGTCTTTGTTTAGGACTCATGCAAGGGGTTCCCTTCTGCCAGCCAATCGAAGGTGGTTCCTCTCCGGGTTCCCAGTCAAGGCACATGACCTGTTTAATTTCTGAGCAACTATTCTTACTATGTGGAATTGTTTTATTTGTGTTTTTTATGGACTGTCTCCCTCCACTAAAAGGCAAGCTTCCTAGGGGCAGGCATCATATGTCCTACTAACTGCTTCACCCCCAGGACCTAGAAGAGTGCCTCTAAGGGTGCTCAATAATCACTTTACCAAAGGAAGGGGAAAAGAGAAGGGGTAAGGAAACAGAACTTCTCTAGGTACCACAGCTGCTCTAAATGGTTATAATGGGGAGGATGCAGTGACAACCCCACTTCCAAAACAAACTCAGTTTGTAAAGATCTAAAATACAAGGGATTTTAAAAGATTATCTTAAACCAGGAACAGAGGTAGACAGCTATAATCCCAGCAATCCATGAGGCTGAAGCAGGAGGACTGCAAATTCAAGCCCAGCCCAGACAATTTAGTGACTTAGAACTTGTCTCAAAAAAAAAAAAGGATTAGGATGGCCCTGGGTTCAATCTCTAGTACCAACACCACCACCAAAAAAAGATAATCTTGAAAGCTTTCAGAGAAAGTCAGGATTAAGCAACATGGTAGCCTTGAACTTCTCAAAAGCAAACTAGATCCCAGATGACAACAGAACACTTTAAAACTCTAAGGGAAACTTTCTCAACCTAGGATCCTATTCCCAGGTTAACTATTTTGTTTTCAGTTTCTATTTTTTTACTAGTACATATTTATCATGGGGAGCTGGTATAGGTATATAACACATCTTGATGGGCAGGGGACCACACCTGTCTGTATGGCCCCCACACACAGAACACAGAGCTTGACATGGACAAAAGAAAAAGGCTACTGAGTATTCATTCTCCAGCAACTCTGGTTGGGCCAGATGGCTTTTTTTCTTTGGCAGTACTGGAGACTGAACTCAGGGCCTCCACACTGAACTATATCCTCCAGATCTTTTTTATTTTGAGACAAGTTCTTACTAAGTTACTAAATTGCCCACACTGGGTCCTGCCTCAGCTTCCCAGGGTGCTCAGATTACAGACATGTACCACTGTGCCTGGATCCAGTTTGCTTTTGACAGTCTGTCTCCCTGGTGACTTTCACAGTGCTTTTTACTTAGCAGAAAGAACTACTCCTTCCCTTGAGGTACAGCCTTACTCATCGCCCCCAACCAAACACATATCAATTCAGTAAACTTTGCTCTCCAGTTTCTGCATTAACTGTGTGAAACCCGAATGACAAGTTCATACAAGCATTACAGAAATCAGAGGACTGGCATTCTTCATACCCCAAGGCATAGGATGTCCCTAGGAGACAAAGTCTTTTGATTATCTAACCTGCTATAAAATTGCAAAAGGGTTATGAAAGGTATACTAAGCATGGTAAAGCCACAGGAGAAATATAGCCAAGTGAAATTAAAGGGATTAAAACAAAACCAAAGTCAGACATGGTGATAAACAGCTATAATTGCAGTCTGGAGGCTGAGGCAGAAGGATTACAAATTTAAACTCTCAAAGAAAATTTAAAAAAATAAACAGCTAGAGATGTAGCTCAGTGCAAAGGCCCTGGGTTCAACTCCCAGTACTATTTAAAAAAAAAAAAAAAAAAAAAGCTAATGTTTTAAAGTTATTCAGAGTTCATGCCCTCAAGTTCGCTTTCCCGTCACATGCACTGAATTCGGTAATTAACATATTAGGACCAGCCTTGCGATAGGTAGCTGAGGACAGAGGAGGGCAAAGGACTCTGCGGGACATTTTATTTTATTCCTAAGGATCCCAAAGAACAGGTACAGCTGACAGCCAGTACACCAGATTATCCTTACTTTCCAAAGCTGCAAAGTCACTGCCTGTGCTCATGCTCAACAGCACTTTGGGGGAGACACTCACCTGTAACCTCTGGCCTAGTGGCTTCACAGCAGAATGAAGTTCCTTTCTTGAACTGGTTGTCGACAATTTCTAAGTTAGAAAAGGCTGCTGGGTCTTTCTCCACAGCCTCTGCAGAGCCCTGCACGGGAAATAAAGATGCTGAAGACCTCAGGGATCTGACGCATTAGGGTAGAAGGCACATCAGGACTCAGCCGGCCTCTGCGAAGACCCACTGCTGGACTCAAATGAGCGTTCAGACTAGGGGGGGCCCCTTTGGCAGTGGGGAATGTCAGGCAATCTCTCCACAGAGCCCTTGCACACAGAAGGGTGACAGGCAAATCCCGACGACTACACTGAGGAAGGGGGTGCATGGGGACCCTGTGGCATCTGTCCTGCCCTTGCAGAGTGCAATGTGGACTTGACGGGCGGTCTTCAGCACGTGGGAAAGGTGGAATGGTGTTTTCTCTTTCTTTCTCCACTTAGCCTGATGCTGTGAGTTAAAATGAAGTTCTCTTACCTCTTTCTTCCCTCCATTCTCTGGCCTGTGACTTAATTGAGGACATCACAGAATTCTGTTACAGCCTACTTGGGGAAAGCACGTGAAAGGAAGCTGGGAAAGTGGATGGGGTTCTCTGGCAGCTCTCAGGCCCCAGACTGTTTTCTGAATCTTATAGACACAAACTAAAGGGACTGTGTTCCTGAAGCCAGGGGATGACTCAGATCACATCAGCTTTTTGGCATCATGAGAGTTTAGTGATTTGGAGATAGAGAAGAGGCTGTGAATTCCCAGTGCAATCAGTTTCTGTTTCCAAGGTGTCACGACTTGGACAATCCAAGATATGAGAACTTGAGCTGTTTCTGATGCTGGCTAAGCCTCAGCTCTCTCACCTGCAAAGTAACCATGTCACCCACTTTGTCGAGCGAAGAGTAAATAAGACCCTGAGCCAAAGTGCTTGGGATCACACGTGACCTGCCCTCCAAGTCTGAGTCAGTTCTCACCTGTACAAGCATCAGCACCAGCAAGGGCCCAGAGGGCTCATCCCCCATGAGAATGGCAGAGGCGACTATAAAATCAACAGGCCAGGAAGGCCTACAATGGCGGGGGCCACAGGACATTCTGGTTGGCAATCACAGAGCAAATCACCAGAGCTCAGTGGCTTTAAACAAGCTTTTCCATCATCTCTCATGTTTCAGTGGGGTCAGAAATTATGTGGGGGCGCCTCACCCAGTACAGTCAGCTGTGTGCTAGGGCCCCTCTCCTTGTGTCTCCTAGGTGTCTGGCTTGGGCTTCTCGAAGCACGGTGGCCTCAAGGGAATGAGATCATTACAAGAAGGTCCAGGGAGGGTTCCTCACACAATGCAGAAGTGTCTTTTCTGACGTGACCTCTAAGAGCATGATGTTACTTCCACCAGGTCCCATCGGCCACAGCTCACCATCATTCAAGAGCAGGGGAATCAGATGGGAGTGGAATACAAGCTTTCACTGGGGGCATCCATGGATGATACCGCCTGTCACAGACAGCTATTTATTTAACATCTCCCAAGTGCCAAGCACCCATTGTCTCACTGAAGCCTCACATCCACCTGGAGAATTAGCATTGTTACGACCATTTTATAGATGAGGAAGTTGAAGATGAGAAAGGTGGAGTGACTTGTTCACTGCTAACAGGCCTCCAGGGACAGAAATGGGGCTGAGGAACTCCATCTTCCATGACACATTTGAGAGGCTATAGAGTAAAATCTGGAGTAATAAGGACACTGAGAGCTAATAAGAGCACATTTACTTAGTTGGAACATTATAGGAATAGCAGAAAGTCCAATTCCTGAGGAATGGAAGGGGTATGAAAGACACAGACACACCCCCAATTGGATTTCAAGATAACAATGATACAACTAGAAATGGGCAAAAGGGTGGGAAGCCCCTCTTATGTGAGGATAATTTTAGAGGCCAGCACATGCCAGAGGGAATTTACCCTGGGAAATACATTCAGAGGGTTGCATAAACAAGCAGATGCAAGAACTTCCATCAGTCTGTGTGTACATGTGCAAAATAATGAAAACAACTAAATGACGATCAACAGAAAAATCACACCAGCAAGGACACCCAGAATAGTCAGCTGTGGACAAGAACAAGGTCACTCAACAAGTATCAACAAGACCCAGCCACTGCCATGTCACAACAAAAGGGCAAGTTGCAAAACTTCTCATTTAAAAGACTATTTAAAAAGCTACACACCAAAACCTTAAGCACTTTTGGAAACAGAGGTGTTTATTTTTTCTCTATTTTTCCTTCTTTTTCTATTTTTTAGACATATTTTTACATGATAAAAATAAGAACACAATGCAAACATTTTCTGGGCACATCTGTGGCTCTTATATGGGTCACTAAGGTCATCTGGCCCCACTACCACACCCATAGTATGGTCAGGCCTGGCTTTTGGGGTAACCCTTGAGTTCACCTACAGCTTTTCTCCCCATCCCCCACCACACACCCCAAAGCCTGGTGACAGCAAAGCCACTTTTGCTAAATGCTCACTCTGATTTCCACACGTGGCCCCACAAAGCTCTTGGCCCAAGAGAGCTCTAGCCTGACTCTGGGGGCCTCATTTACCTAGAGGGTTGGTGTCCCTGCAGGAAGTGGAGATTTTAGAGACATTCGGAAACAAGCATGAACCCTACATGGGAAGAAATGGCCAAAGACCCTGGTTCCAATTTTTTCAAGGTTGAACTTCAGTTAACTGAAACTACAGAACTTCTGCTTTTCAGAAGTCACAAAATATACATTCACCATAACAGGAATTTCTGTCATTTATGGGGCGGAAATCTTTCCTCCAATCCATCCCAGCTATCATTAAACCATTCTGACTTTTAGGGGAAAGATGTCCTGAAAGTGGAATGACTTACTCTCCTCCTCACTCCTGTCCCTGCCACCAGCCTGGCAGCCTCCCAGAACCCTGGAGCTATCCAAGCCACCACCCGACCTCTCGGTTCCCCCAGATGACCCAGTCCCGTCACTCCAGCTATCCAATCCGTGTATTTTTTTTGGAGGAATGAGACTATTCAAAATTTCAATGAGAAAGGATCCACTAAATTTGGCTCAGAAGGAAACTGGGTAGGAGCAGATCCTCTGTGAGCTGGACCCTCGTCCCACTGCGCGATCCTCCCTCACCGGCCCATGGGCTCCAGCTAACCTGAGCGCACGTCCACCTCTTACCTGCTTGTGCGCACCCCCTGCCCCCCACCCGCGAGCAGTCATCCTGGTCCTACACTGCGCACACGACCCCCAACCTGCGCGCCGACTTACGTTCCACTGTGTGCCTACTCCCCTCCTTTGGACCACAGCGCGCCGCAGGTCAGAAACCAATCTCTCCACTTTGTGGGAGTCCGAGGACCCGGCCCCTAGATGACGTATTGGTATAGACGACCAATCGGAGGCGGGTCCTGTGTGATAGGCGGCCCTACATCCGGCGATTGGACTAGGCGTCTGAGCTGACCACGGGCCCACCGCGCGAGCCATTCGGCGGCTGTGGATACGAGATTGACAGCTCGAGCCCGCCCCCAGCCCCGCCCCAGAAGGATGCGAGGTGGTAACCTGTAGCGCCCTGGAAAGTGCGCTGAGCGGGAACGGGCTGGGGAATCTCTACAGGGCTGAAGACTTGTGGGCTGCGCTGAGAGTGCGCCAAGCTAGTATATTTACCGGCTAGGTGGATGTGAGACTCCTGGTGCCTCAGTTTCTGCCTCTCCAAGGGCTCTTACATTTATGGAGGATCTGGTGTGTCTAGCAAAGAGCAAAACAGACGAAATCCCTGCTCCTGGGGCTCACGTTCTGGGGAAAGCGGTGCACTATAAACACATAATCGAGTAAATATCGAAATGGGGGCGGTGAGAAATGATACCGGGAAAGACAAAGCAGGGTAAGGAGACTGGAGTGTGGCAGGGCAGCAGTTTTATGCAGGGCTGTCCAGGAAGGCTCGCTGCTAGGATACCTTCCCTGGCCGGAGGTGGAGCTTGGGATAGGGCGTTATGAGGGATCACTTTTTGGGGACGCGGGGAGGGCGAAGCAGGATTGAGCAAAGGGGTAAGTTGGCCCAGAATGCAAGCCAGAACGCTTGGGCTGTAGAGAGAAGATGCCCTGAGCCCTAGCCACAGTAACGCCATTTTGTAGGTTGCCGTTTAGCTGTCCTGCGGGTTCTGACAGGTGCTGAGGCTGCGTGCCAGACTGCAGCAACAAGTTCATTCATCACCACCTTCACAGTATTCGCTGAGACCAGTAGAATTCCTGAGAAGGACGGAAACAGAATACACATAGACACATAATTCTTCCCATGGATTCTGGTCTGCTGGTGTTTTTTTTTTGTTTCTTTGTTTGTTTGTTTGTTTGCTGTGTGACAGACAGCCATGTGTAAACAGAAGCTTGATAAAGAGGGAAAGACTTTAGTAGTGTCACTGATGATAATAAGCCGTCCACCACGCTGTAAGTAACTCCTAGTAAATGCATGCACTTGCCCAGCTACGCTTGTCTGGATTATTCTTTGGTCTGTCCCCACTGTCTCAATTCGGAGGCAGGTGTTTCTTTTACATCTCCTGGCAAATCGCAGAGCACTTCTTAAGGAAATGACAATGGTAAGAGGCTCTTGGCATCCTTTTGGTCTGGAATGGTCATATCTTACGCCCCTGCCTCTATCAGACGTGGGCCAGCCTTGCAAAGACTGGGTCAGGGGCAGGTGTCTGCTGACCCCACACCTGACAGCTACACAATGGCTGTACTGGTAGAGGAATCTGGTGCATGCATCCTTCACAGATTTTTTTTCTGCAGCTTTTTATTTTGAATGCACAAGTATTCAAACACATTGAAAAAAGATGGGGATGTAACTCTGTGGTAGAGCACTTGCTTATTATAGACAAAGTCCTGGGTTGAATCCAGCACCATAAAAGATACAAACGAAAGCAGTTGAACATATGGCGAACATCCTTATACCTAGAGATAGCATCTAGGTGAAAGATACAGCTCCCTACAAAATAGTACTACTGTTATCCTTTGTAATATGGTGTGTTTCAAGTTTGTTACATTGCACTTGTCTTTTTATTTCTGTGTCAGTTTTTCTTTTTTCCATTCCTTCTCAACCATCAGTTAGCTGGATAACCCTAATAGCTCCTCCTAATATTTCAGTATCCATCTCCCAGAGCAAGAACATTTTCCTCTGCTACCAAAATGAAATGACCACACTCTGGAAATGGAACATAATTTCAATACTATTATGTATTTATTGCCCACCTGCACTTTCCCCCCAATGTCCCAGTAATGTCCTTTTAATACTTCTTTTTTAAACATGAGGATCCAATGAGGGAGACACACCACCTGTTCAAATAGGTAATTCCTTGGCAGGATACTATGCTAGGTAGATTATGTCTTCATTGTATCCCATGAGGAGTCACATGATGATATTTTGTCCCTTTGTTGAAAATAGGTTTGATTGAGGGTTTCAGGTAGTTTCTGTCAGAAGTCTCTATTTTTTCCTTTCACGATTAATCAGTAAACCAGTGGAATGACACTTTGAAAATGTAAAAATGCTGCTCCCAAGCTATTATAGGCAGGTGGGGCCTCAAGGAAATCAGCACAAAAAAACAAAGACCTTAAAGCTGTCGCGTGTTGTGGCAGGTGCAGGATGAACATGCAACAGCCAGGCCTGCATGCCCACCTGAGGGATAAACAGTAACTTGAGATTCTACTGTAATTAACTCCATCTGGTCCAAATAGACATCAGAGGCCCAAGCGGGTGACCAGTGCATCTGGACTCACTCCCTCTCAAAAATGCCTCTGTTCTTTCCATGTGCTCTTGCTACACAGCTCATTTTCCCATTGGATCAATGTTAGCTAAGCAGCTATACTTTACCTGTGGTCCTATAGGTTGATTGTAGTTTGACCCATGTTGTACCCACTTTGTGACTTTGCTGTATAAATTACCCTTGACAAAGGACCCGGGTGGCCACCCATTCAGAACCCCTGAGGGAAATGCAGGAGCCATTCTTCTTCCTCTTGTTTCCCTTATTTCCAAAAACACTTTTAACTTCCTCCTTTGGTTCATGACATCATTCCTTGATGCGAGACCAACTCAGCATATCTGGCAAGGTGGGGAACTATACTTCTCCAGTATGAAAACAACCTTTTACCCAGTCACATACCATTTAATGAGGACTGCTGCCTGCATCATTTATTTCTTGGTGCAAATGACACAGCTCAGTACCACCATGATGAGACAGTGGTTGGACACAAGGCTGGGATGACAAAATGAATCCCTGAATGCAGTAAATTATTTTCCTTTGTAGTATGGCATATTTCAACAGACTTGTCATGAGACCCTGATAAAATTTCAAAACCAGAATGTTTGCATGAAATAAGAAGATGCTACAGAAGAAAAACCTAAATAACCCCTCTAACCTAACTTGTTCTCAGTCAATGTAAAAAATAACCAGCTTTGGAGGTCACACAGCTGGGCAATACAGTGTTAGCACCCTACCAGCTCTGCTCTTGATGATAGCTCTGATCTGTGGGTAAAAGTCACCTAGGTTACTTCTGGGGACCTGAAGGCCACTTTTGCTGGGAGCACTGACTCTGCACTTGAGCCTACACATGTCCTTTGGCCCTATTACAAGGCCAGGGTGTTTATGCAAAATAATGGTACAGCTGTAAGAGCAACATAGCAGGTCCTGAGTGAACTTGGCCACCTATTAAGCCACCTAATGCAAGGCCTGGATACTTTCCATAGGATGATGGTGCCAGATACACAAAAATTCAACAACCTTTAGGACAAGTTGATTGTAACTACTTGGTGGTCCAAGTCTATCACAAAAAGAAATGTTTTTTCAAACCATGCCCTTGACTAATGGGAATTATTGGGTTTTAGTCCACCCCAGCAAATCAACAAAAAAACTTGCTCCTGTCTTTGCCTTGAAAGCAGTATCTTGGGCACTCTCATCAATCACTGGCTCCTTTCAGCCAAAACCCCAATCTGGCTGATGGCCTTTCCTCGACTCCCAGTAAACTTCTGCCTGTGCTGGAGTGTGGGTTCTTGTTCCTACCATCTCTGGATCAAATGATCCCATCTTCCTGTATCACGCAGATATTCTAATTTCAGGATTCCTTCAATTACTGAATTTTTAATTCACTGAGGTATGATCCCGTGCTCTATTGTCCCATATTTGGCCCCTTGATATTTACAATTCTGAGCTCCTCTTATAGCAAATGCCCTGCAGATGCTCATGGCTCATGGAGCAAAGCCTTGGTGTTAAAAACGTCCTTATTTTCTGAAACAACCAGAGAGATCTTCTCTTCTCCAGACCTGAATTAACTATTGTTGGCTGGAAATCTCTGAGCAGAAACCTGAAGGAGTGGAGAGAGCAGACCCTTTGCATTTGGGGGATGAAGACTTACCCCAAGGGAGCATGTTGGGACTGATGGATGAGTGAGTATAATGTTCTTGTGCTTTTCTAGTTTCCAAATTGTCAAGAACAAGAATCAATGGAAATGGAAAAGCAGTGGTCAAAGAAGTGAAAATGAGTTAAAAGTAGAAGTAGCACTGCAAATCAGAAGGAAAGACAGACTTCTAGCAATAAAGGTAAGGCAATGAATTATTCATATAGGCAAAAAACATTCTCGCCCTTGGTGAACTGACTGTGCGATATGGAAAGAAACAGTGATAAGGGCAGCTGGAGAATCAGGACAAGCGGCTTGGAGAAGTGATATGGCAGTATTTATAAAGTTGAATGTCTGCGTACCCTACTGCTCATCAAAACTGCTGAGGAAACTGGCAACGCGGCTACAGGAGACCCTTGGAGTTAAAAAAACAAAAATAAAAACAGCAGTGTCAGCGTGCATGTTGGCAAAACGCTGCAAATTTATATGCCCATCCGTTATTGGATGGATTAACTGTGCTATATTCCTATGATGGAGTAGCAAACTGCAGAAAAGTAATCAAAAGGAAGTAGCTAGCATTATTACAGGAGAAAAAACAATTTGCAGAAACACGTGGAAGTATAATTGACATAGTTTTTTGTTTTTTAAAGCAAAGCGTCTCTTTTCCTTAGGGTTACCAAACACGAGGCTCCCGAGAGATACACATGGAATTCAGAGCGCTGTGGGCGAAGGGACTGGAGGACGCTCACAAAGCGCAATGCATGGTGCATTGATAAGTAATGATAATGTATTCCTTTCTTCAGCTGTCTGGCAGGTGCGCGGAGGATGTGCTATCATACAGTATACCTAGAATCCTTCTATTAAAGGAAAAGGAGCTGAGCTCTCCTAGGCAAACAATCAACCCCGGTTGCCTTGCATGGGACTTCCGGCAAGACGGCTTACTAGGTTGGTAAACCGATTGTGGGAAGGGGT